TTATTGATGTGTTCAGCAAATACATATGGTCCAGACCTATGGAAAACGGGGGTTTGTTGTGGTTAAAACTTTCACGTCTATTCTGAGTGAGGCGTCATATCATTGCAAAGTTTCAAACAGATAACGGTACAGAGTTTCTTCAATAAAGGTTTTCAACAGTAAAAATAAAATAAAAACATCACCTTGCAATAATCACTGATTTAAAAAAGTGAATATGGTCGAAATATTTAATACAGCTTTAAAAGGACGTAGGTAGTCTGTGTTTTTATTAAGAGGAAAGCTGAGAGAGGGACTATCTGCATCCTGGTAAGTCTCAATAAACATCTATCTGTTGCTTATCAGGGTTTTTAAATTATTAAATAATATGCTTTAAGACTTATTGTTCTGATAGATTTAGTGTGGAGAAAATGAATAGAGGATCTTTTACCTGGTTGGGTAATGAATCGTTCAATTTCTTTGAAGTGTTTTCAATGAATTTTATTACCAAAAGCATGTAACAGAACATCACATAAAAAGATGTATAAACATGTATAAATGTACACATAATCATCAAACTTCACAGAGTACATTTTTTGTCTGAATTATACATTAGACTCTTTACAAATAAGTCTTATGACATTGTGGACCACTCACAATTCCTGAAAAAGGATAGTACAGTCTGTAGTCAAAACACTTGATTCAGGCATATTTCACAAAATATCCCTAATACCCATAGGGTAGTGTCCTATAATCTGGTAATATTATTCTTTTGTCATACACAATCTTTAACCTCTTCACAATAGTTCTGTTACGTAACGTAAAATGGGTCTTATCACGAGTGATGGTTGACGATTGTGGTTCCAGCACCTTGGTATCACCATTCTCTACGTACGCGCACACGAGTCCTATCAGACTTTGTAGTGTGACTATCTGTGCATTATCTGGATTGAGCGTAATACCCTTCGCTTTGAGACACGTATGACCGTTTGTCATCGCTATCCCATATGACTTAGGCCCCGAAGAAACAAAGGTTGAAATGCCTACACCTGTCGCTAATTCGTTGGTTAACTGACCTAGATAAAGTCCGGTCTCGGGGATCCAGGAGTCGTTTTTTGATACAAAGATCACAGAATCTGTATCTGCGTACAACACACGGTCTCCTAATTTATCCAAAAGATTATACAGCTCGAGTCGCGCGTAAGCTGTGGTGAAAGCGCCTATAAACACATTAACGTCACGTGTCGGGCAAGGATCTCGCTCTGGTTGGGACCACTGAATCAATGCCACTGAATCAGATACAAATGAGAAATGTTTTATCACATGCGCTCTGCTAAATAGACGCTGTGTGAACTCCTCTCCATCTGACAAAAGTTCTGTGGTCGGCAAATGAGTCCTGAGACAGAACCGACCCCACAAAGTGTTCAGAATAAGCTTGCTTATAGATCGTTTTGCGGGGTTATGGGCTATATTAGCGATGTCTAGCTGAACGCCCTGTTTATCCAGATAATCATTGACATAAGACTGTTTGTCCGCATCTGTCACTACATGTGAGGGGAAGCCTGACGCTTCTTGTTTGAATTTGAGAAAAGTGTTGACATATCCAGTGAACAAAGTGTCCGATGTATTATCAAAATGCCAGACCTCATCAATTTTCAATATCTGGTATCCATGATGAATAGCTCGTTGTAATTCCACAGAGACCCATGTCCCGTTAATAGACCTCTCGTTGTCTGTATGGATGCATTGAGGCGTCTGGCTGCGATTTTCAACGCAAGATCTACACAGAGGAAACATTAGTTTACCGTGACATCTGTAAGGCAGAACCGGGTGATAGAGTTTTCGTGGAGGTAAAACTGTCGCTTTAATTAAACCGAAATAACGATCTATTTCTTCAAATTCCTCAAAAACGACCTTCGGATGTCCGATAGGATAAGTCTTACTCGCCTGTACGTACGGATAGAGCGATGTGAAATCATAATAATCCACTCGCTCATCATCAGCTGTTTCATGATATAGTTTATACGCGTTTGTGCGGCCTCCGTATAACGCATCTCGTGGCCTAAGTCTCTCAGGCGCTTCGTAAGAAGCCATAAACTCAATCACAGCGGGGTCTGTTTGTTTCATGTGCTCCCAGTGACATTCCCACATAGTAATAACTCGTAAGGAATACACCTTGCGGAGTGTTTCTATCTTTTCATCCGAATGTCTTCTGAGAGTACCAAAAGATACTTTTGACAGGGGTTGAATTTCTTCCGAATTATATCGACAATCATGTCCGTGGTAAAAACAGCCCAAGAACTCCAAGGCTGTTTTTACCCCTTCAACAGACTCATAATAACCGTCAACATGATAAGGCCCAAAAGCATGCTCTCCATGGTTTAAGGCATGCTGTACGGGTACACCGTTCTTACGTGCATGGAAATTTAGCCATTGAATTGATACGGATGAATATGTCTTGTATTGATTAATGTATGCGTGACTATGTGTCAAGGCCAGGGTGTCACGGGGGAGGAAATTAGTTTTAAATGTTTTCATGCATGTTCCCGCTAGTGTAATGGATTTAAACGGGTCAATGTTTGTGATTTCGAGGAACTCCTCTCGATATCTCTTACACGCCTCTCGAAGAATCACAACGTCATTCCGACAGTAAAAAGCAAGCTCTTTTTTGAAGTCAAAGACACGGTTCGATACACTCGCATACCACTGATTAAATTTAGTGCGGTCGGCCTGACTCATCGTCTCGTAACCGTAAAACTCTTTTGCGGGGTAGGGGCCAACATAATTGGTATTCTCCAATCTGTTGAAATGATGCGGAAAATACCCCTTATCATTTACCTTCAGGTTTAACGCCTCGGGTGCCGCTTTGAGGGAAAATGGGAAAAACTGGAAACTGTCTACGTATCTCTGTCTAAAAACTCTGTCATACATGTACAAAATGCGGCAACCCTGCATGATAACCTTTGGAGTTATCCCCTCGTTGGTTAGATGGTCTGCGAGAATATAAGAATCAAACCCCGAAGCATTGTGGGCTATGAATGTGTAATCATTGTATTTTGGACGTCTGAAATGTTTAATCAGACGTGCCACACAATCTGTGCCTCCGGCTTCAAACGTCTCACCTGTCTGAGTCATTGCACATACAAAATTAGCCACATGTTTATCATCCTGATACATTGTCTCAAAATCATAATAAATGTATTTCTCATCACACGTTTCAGGCTTTAGAGGTTGGATGTAACAATCATGACTTCCCTCACCGGCCAAAATTTCGTAACAATGTACGCATCGCTTCGGGCTGCATTTGTGACCGTTTAACTTATCACCTCCTTTTGGTACATTATAAACGGTATGGCATTTTGAGCAATAATTAAAGGACTGACATTGAGATTGTTCACCGGTTACGAGCGATTCTTTATGCGTTCTGTAGCAGAAGGCGTTTCTGCAGTATCTGAGGCAGTCTGGGCAATGTTTATAGCTTGTGGCATGTGTGCGACACTCGCTTGTACAGCAAATATTACATACGTATTTGCATTTGTGTGTTCTCTTGTTTTTATGCGCCTTGAAGCAGAACGGACAAACGTAACTTCCTCCGATGAATCCCTTTAAATTTTTTATTAGATGATAATGCTGCTCGTGGTTAAAGAGATGTACTGTTTTTGGATGAATTTCGTCAGTGTTTTTGTACACCTGCAATCTGCACCTGCAGAGCAGTCTCTGTAAAAAACAACGATTTTTAACTCTAAATATTTTTCAAAAATGGACAGATTTTGAAACCCTATTTTTTCATTAGGCGTAAAACCACATGCTGTGTGGATTTCCCTCGCGGGGTTTTGTAGGTCTGCATCAGTGTAAGACGGATTAATAAAATGAGCGAGGCAATAACTAAGACACATGTTGTTGGTGAAGTTAGTAGGACTGAATAAATGCATTTTGTTTTTCTCTACCGATTCGCTAATTGCAAGATCTGTAATTTTCCTCCGTCCTCCCCCCGTCCTACCCAGAGCTACACTGACCTGAAGCGATAGCGTCGAGTCTGTGCTCAGCTCTGTATTGCTTTGTGCCGCTTGTTCAATCTGTTCAATAAATATTTCGGGGTTATGGTTGTTTTCGGGGGTCAAAACAGCATTTATTGATGTGGGTAGGCTAGATCCTGTTAGGGCAATGTTAATGTAACCATCGTTGCCAGCAACCTGTTGCGATAACCCCACAATCTCACTTAAAATATTGTGCAGACGATGATTAAAATCTGCCAAATCATTTGTATCTATTTCACGGAGATTCAACGTTCTGTTAATTTCTACCCCATTGAAACGCGGTCTCGGTATTATTACAAAGTCACCCACACTGCCACCCTCAGATATTAGTGTGTCTATTTCCTCCCGACTCAACTCCCCATCCCTTCCCCCATTCTGTATGATTTCATCATCATCATTATTATCATTATTATCATTATCTTCGTCTAACCATGTTTGTTGTTCGACGATAAGATTTTGCAATCTTTCCCTAACTGAAAGTCCTGTAGTGTCTAACGCGTTTAATTGTTCACTTATTAGCCGTTGTAAAAGTTCGCTATTTCCATCACCTCTCGACATGATACCTTCGTCAGGGTCGATATTAGGAATGTGGTGATGATGATTCGAAACCTCCATATCGGAGTGGATGGTTTCATCATCATCCATATCTAGCCAGGATCGCTGTTCGGCAATAAGATTTTGCAATCTCTCCCGAGGCGGTAACCCCGTAGTATCAATCCCCGTTACCTGCTCACGTATTAAGCTCTGTAATTGATCGTTAATACTTTGACGCCTCGAGTTGAGGCGGTCGTCTTCATCAGAGTCGTTATCCGAACGTGCTCTTTTAGAAAGCATTTTTGTAAAAGTGGTTTATTTAAAAATAGTGTATGACAAAAAAAAACATACAATATACATAAAACTAATGTCTACAGATATGAAAAACGTAACAGGCATACAAACTCAAAACATCATGTTAATACAATTACAGACTTTGTGTAAAATAAACAAGTTAAAAGCTTAAAACTTTAATAAAAAATAAAAATAAAAAAATAAAAACAAGCATTGAAAAAATGAGCGGTCATCATCTCCTCCTTAGGGTCTCGGGTAAATCTCTCAAAATACGTTGAATGATATTCAAGCGTTCAGAAATTAGCGTTACTGCTAGGGTGAGTATTTGCTGATCTCCTCTTACCTGATCAACAACTCCCCACAGACGCCTGTTCTCAGTCTGTGTTTGTTCGTGACAGTTTCCAAAAAACTCTACGGTGTTGGATAATTGTCCGGCGTGTTGATTTTGGAGTTCGATAATCCTGCGCTGAAGAGCAACTACTGGCGCTTGTGATACGACGAGCAGGTCCTCTGTTTCTTGGTAGGTTAAGGGTCGTGAAGCGACATCTAAAACCCTTAGAAAATTCCGGTTGGCACTGCGAAATGTGTCATAACTCAGTCTGTGAAAATCTTGAGGGGTGAATAAAGGTCTGAACGGATCGTGGGTATCTTCATCGGAGTGTGTACTGGGTGATGAGTCTTGAGATCCGACGGCATCCAGCACATCTGCCTGGGATTCTAAAAATATCTCCAAGTCTCTTTCGGGATAATCTGGTTCTAAAATAATAATAATAATGTTTATTATAATAGCAATTTATGTATTATTTATATGACATAGACTGTATAGTATCTCACCGCTATCTTCCGAAGAGGATGCGTTAGGGGTGACCTCACAGTCTCTCGAGGCAGAAAGTCGTTTCTTGTAAGAGCCTGCTGTACACTCCGTTTCTTCGTACTTCGTATTGGAGGTGCGCTCATCGGTCGGATTTTCCTCTGGGGATAAATGACATTTTTTATTAATTTAAATAACAATATATAAAAATATATTATATTAAACTAAAATATGTTATATTAAAAATGATCATGTATGTATAGGGTATTGCTTTACTCACCGCTATCAGGGTATGCTAAACGTAGACCGTTGTCTGGAGCATATTCTCCATAAGTTTCACGAAGCCTTTTAATCCCCCCTACAGAGTTTTCCTCTGGGGATAAATGACATTTATTTTTATTAATTTAAATAACAATAGATTAAAATAAAATATATTAAACTAAAATATATTAAACTAAAATATGTTATATTAAAATTATCATATATGTATAGGGTATTGCCTTACTCACCACTGTCAGGGTATGCTAAGCGCAGACCATTGTTGGAGTCGTATTCGCCATAAGTTTCACGAAGCCTCTTAATCCCCCCTACAGAGTTTTCCTCTGGGGATAAATTACATTTATTTTTATTAATTTAAATAACAATAGATTAAAATAAAATATATTAAACTAAAATATATTAAACTAAAATATGTTATATTAAAATTATCATATAGGGTATTGCTTTACTCACCATTGTCAGGGTATGCTAAGCGCAGATCATTGTTGGAGTCGTATTCACCATAAGTTTCACGAAGCCTCTTAACACCTTTCCCCGAAGAAGGCCTCCGGAGTTGTTTGCGACTTGGCTCCGTTGCAGATGCGTTCGTTCTGGTGTCCGGAGAAGTGTCTGAGTGCTCACTGTCCGCCCCTAGAGTACTCCAGGGTGTGACGTCCTCATAACCGTGTATCGGGTTGTCCAATGATGCACATACTGTTTCTTCTGACGATTGCATAGGTCGTTGTGTTACAGAGGTCTGTAACGCGGGGGTTCGAATGTGTTTTCTGCACTGTTTTGTAAAATTTCATCAAGCGGACAACCGTCTGATATCGCTTCATCATCTAAAACACATGCAAACAAATATATCACATACCCTTTTAATATTTTCATTACAGATATAAAATGGAAAATCATAAAAGACAAAGAAATAGGCTACTCACAAAGAGAATCCAGAACTTCTGCCAAATCAGCATCAAAATATAGATCCGGGAGTACATCCTCTATACATGATGATAAAAATATTTATATAAGTATATATACAAATAGTTTATAATAGTTTTGTTGCTAAATATTAAATCATCAACATACCGTATTGGTTTTCAGCCATTTTTCCTTAGAGACTCGAGACGTGGTGCAATATGGTTAGAGTGAAAGCGCCGAATGAAAGAACTTGTCATGTTTTTAAACATCCCGACTTTTCCCGCCATCTCATCCTTTTTCAAAGGATATCTTTCAACTCCTCATGTGGTAGGGGGGCTTGTGATATTTTATTTTACGACTTACGAAAGATGTGGGGGAAACCCTCCAGGACTCATCAGATAACACCTCTAATAAAATAATTCGTACACTACAAACGGAAAAACAGGTATTGGGACTCCGTGTGGACGTGGCATGGGGTCGGGGCCAAGGGGTCAGTGTGTGTGTGTGTGTGTGTGTGTGTGTGTGTGTGTCACCAAAGTGTAGGCAGTGCGTTTATCTGGAAAAGACTTCCCTGCACCCCTTAGAACTCTAATTAATCCATAACAATGTACTCTGCTTTTGTTTTAACCAGTTGGATTATTCAAAGTTTTTGATTCCGAATGAAATCGACATGTAATGTAGAATCAAATAAAGTAGGCTATATAAAAACTATGTGAGACCTCAGGTCTGACTGTAATGGCATGTTTAAAACACTGAGGTAAACATTTTAAAATATAACTTTTAACATAAAATATACCACAGGCAAACTAAGAATAGGTATATTTGTTTGATATAAAACAATCGGTTTTATATGCCACAAAAGCGAGTATTTAGCTTTGGGGTTTTTTAAAACAGCCTCTGTCAGAGTATGGGACGAGTTTACGTGTGTCTCTATGAAGTGAGGACCAATGCTTCTTTATATAAATGGAGCAAATATGTTTTATATAAAACGGAGGAATTTACTAAATAGCGTGTAAAGGTAAAGACTCCTGCTGCGTCTTAATGATATAAATTGACTAAAAACGGATTTTAAACATTGTTTTGTAAACGTATGTCTTTTTAAAAAATAAATGGTTTAGAAAAACAGTTTTCTGTAATGAAAAACCCCTCTTGTTTGACTTTTTCTGTAAAATGGTCGATCTTTGACTTTTTAATGCAATTTTTAAACTGTTTTAACATAAAATATATGACCCCGTGCATTTTTTATGAAATACTAAAGAGGTATTTTAGAAAACTTTTTTAATAGAACATTAAAATATATTACAACATTATTGTATTTGTTATAGTTTGTACAACTTCAAGTCTGTGTAAAAGATTTTTCCTTTTAATAAAATCACTATCTTTGTTTTATGTCGCCCTTAAAGTTTGAAAATGTATTGTTTTTCACCATCGTGGGGAAAATTTCCCCGTTCGCGTGATCACCCTGAAGTGGAGAGGGGATGGTGACGCACATACGAATAGGTATATTTGTTTGATATAAAACAATCGGTTTTATATACCGCAAAAACGAGTATTGAGCTTCTGGTTTTTTAAAACAACCTCTGTCAGAGTATGGGAGGAGTTTACCTGCGCCTCTATGAAGCGAGGACCAATGCTTCGTGAATGCGTCTTCTACGGGGCGTGAATAGAGCGTGGACCAATCCGCCGCACGTGCGTCTTCTACGGGGCGTGTGAGGAGGCGTGGTTAGCGCGCCTCATTGCAAGGCGTTAATTCTCTCATTTAAGTTTCATGCTCCGTCCTGAACGGACGTTTTTTAAAACAGTCCGCCGTATGACGTTGGGGGTGGACGTGCTGTACGTATGGATACCGTATGCACTGGGGTCACGTGATGTGGGAGTGTCGTGGGAGGAGTCTGCGTGTGGTTCCATGCACACATGCAAACAGTCAGTATAGTTTCTCCCGGTCGAGATGAATGGACGTGTTTCGCGGGGCTCCCGGGATTACATTTACACAAGTTTGAATCGGAGGACTTTTGGAATATCTCTAAAGTTTTGGATAAAGCATTGCAGCCGGATAATCCTTGCTGTTGGATATGGTGTTGGATTTTTTAAACAGGATAAAACGTAAGTCTGCAATGAAAAACTTGTTTGACTTTTTCTGTAAAATGACCGGTCTTTTGACTTTTTCACATATGAATACATTTTAAACTGTTTTAAAGGTTTTAACATTTACAGATGTATAAAACAGTAAAGAGACGTGTATTTTAATACTTTTAAACGGCATGTAATTGTAAAACTTTTGCTCAAATACTTTTTATTTTTTTGTTATTGAAGACTCTAAAACACCCGTCTTATTTTAAAATGCATTGGATGTAACGTTAAAGGCTTGCACTGTATCTATAAATGGGTTAATAGATTTAAACATTATACATGTTATGTGAAAAGTAATACTTTTTTAAAATGTATGATAGAAATAGGTCTATTTGTTTGATATAGAACAACCGGTTTTATATGTTTTATTAAGAAAACATAACTATTTACTTGATATAAGTTTAATACATACGCTTTTAGATGTTTTTAAAAACACGATTTAATGCCCGCAGATGCATGAACGCTAAAGACACATGTATTTTAACTTTATACAATATTTTAATACTTTTAAACGCGTAATTGTGAAAAGAGCGAAACAGATGTTTTATATAAAAACAAAGCAATTTACTAAATAGCGTGTAAAGGTAAAGACTCCTGCCGTGTCTTAATGATATAAATTGACTAAAAACGGATTTTAAAACATTGTTTTGTAAACGTGTGTCTTTTTAAAAAATAAATGGTTTAGAAAAAACAGTTTTCTGTAATGAAAAACCCCTTTGCTTGACTTTTTCTGTAAAATGGTCGATCTTTGACTTTTTAATACAATTTTTAAACTGTTTTAACATAAAATATATATGAAGCCGTGCATTTTTAATGAAACACTAAAGATGTATTTTAGAAAACTTTTTTAATAGAACACTATTACAACGTTATTGTATTTGTTATAGTTTGTACAACTTCAAGTCTGTGTAAAAGATTTTTCTTTTAATAAAATCACTAAACCTATCTTTTGTTTTATGTCGTCCTTAAAGTTTGAAAATGTATTGTTTTTTCACTATCGTGGGGATCGTGCGATCACCCTGAAGTGGTGAGGGGGTGGTGACACGACCCCTCCGTAACAGGTGTCCAGTTCGGTACCGGGTCGGATGGATCGGGGTCCGGTTCGTGGGGAAATTTTTCCCCCCGATCACGTGACCAGTCCAGAAGTGGAGGTGGTGGTGAGGGGTGGTGGTGAGGGGTAAGAGGAGGGGAGACCGTGGGAATTTCCCACGGTGTACGTACAGTTCATAAGTGGGAGGGGTGGGAGGGGTAAAAGGGGGCGGGGCTTATTTTTATGGGGGGCAATAAACCTGTCAGTTTGATGGGTTGTGCCGCACATCCTCTCTCTAATGAATTCCTGCAGGTTGGGATAACTGACATTAAATTGATTTTTTATTTTTATAAAGTTACCAAGGAGGGCCAACCACGTCAACTCCTTGCAAGAGACCTGCCCCTTCAAACCCTCTCCACCATAGCTTCGTCCAGTGACTCGTACAGTAACATCTGTGATAACTAATTTACTTTTAAACCTGACTTTTCTTGCACGGTTATTTCAGTTTAATGAAAAACAAGCATGTCATTAAACGCAACGTTTATAGAAATCGAACTTTACCTCATCCATGACAACTAATTTTCGATTCCCGTCTGATTGATTTATCCACGGTGGAGTTGAAAACAACAGTTCCCATCATTCCGCGTTCCTCCACGGCGTCATCAAGCAAAGCCGTTGTTGTTGTTTTGAATGTAGCGCCCTCTAGCGGCATCTAAATCTTAGGTATTGCACCTTTAAAGTATACTTTGACAAGATATTTATTTAAAAAAGGGTCTTGTCCAAAATGCAATATAGTGCCTGTTACTATGGTGAGATCTGTTTAACTGTCAAATGTAATTTTTCCATTAAAATATTAAATTAATGACAGTAACAGGACTGACCTCTCAATAGCCAAGAGTGTGTTTTGTCGCCTATTTTTGTAATTGCAGTTAATTGCATGCATTATGGACAAGAGTTATGAACTTATTTACTTGCTTATACATACTAGTTACTTCATTAGCCCATGACAATCTGCTTCCATATGGGAGGTAATCTATAATTATATAGAAAAATACAATCATAGAAGAAAACATATCTTTATTAAAACAAATCATCTTTGGAGATAAAAAATACAACTGGCAATACAACTACAAAATAATTCAATTCTTTTTAAAACTCATTGTTTCAAGTAAATATGACATTTTTGTAGTATAAATCCTGAAAATAGCCATACAAAGCATCATATTACATGTTCATTACATAAAATTTCAACAAAAGAAAGGAATTTCATCAATGGAAACTTAATCATGCACTTAGTGGTAGGCCTATTAACTTGTAAAAACTCTTATTTTTTTCCCCCATTGAAGATACCATTCTCTCCTCTCTGGATCCTGGTCTCTATGTGTGCGAAAGCGCCGTTGCTTCTCTGCTGCAATTATTGGCACGTTACTAACAACTGTAAAAGTGTATAGCAAATTAAAAGTGATGTTAATTATATGCAAAAAAGACATAAAAAGTAAGTAGCATAAGTATACAATAAAAAAACAGATGCATAAATAAACATTGGTAACTAAGCATGTCAATGCTCATATGCTGCTGACACATATATTGCTGCTTTTAGCTTAATAACACACAAAATAACCTTTAAAAATGTCTGTCTCTTAAAAAATAAAAATATATCTATGTCCCTTAGTTGTCCTAATCCTTGAATTAAATTGCATTTGAATGTTTTCCCCTGCAAATAATCAGGGGCTAGAATCTATGCTCCCTATTGGATAGTAACAGGAGGACTGATGGTAACAGGACTGATGATTTTATGCTAATATGCTAATTTATAGCTAACAGGTCAAGGTTCGAAAGGTACATGCTAAGTAATCTGAAAGGTTATTATCTCTAGATATTGATAATATTAGGACTACTAAATAATTGTTTATATGTACACTTTAAAAAACGGTAACAGGACTGATGTTGTATGTTGACCCCTCTAACAACCCATAAAAAATAAAAAATGGGACAATTAAGAAGAGAGAAACTTACCCTTGCTTACACTGTGGAATCCACTTCATCTAAATGATGTCACTTCCTTGATGTGATGTCACTTCTGGTTTGTACCATTATTTTGGGGGTTTTGGTGATAGTAACAGGACTGACATGAATTAGGGGACAATGATAAAATGACAGGGACAGGCTTACCCTTATCCTTACCCATAGCATATAATATGTGATTTTAATTATTTAAAATTATATGGCTTTTACTTGGTATTATATTGATAGATATAATATATAGTAACATTAAGTTTTTTAAATTTCACATTTATTTGTTGTTAAACCAACTTTAGAACAGATTATTTGTTAGGGACGCAAATTTAATGGAATGACCCATGTACTCCCAGTTACGAGTTCTGACATCACATAGCCCGCGAACATAGTCCTGCTCCTGCTGTGGCGATGGTATTTTGGAAATCAAGTGCCCACACTGTGCCAAAGACACCGGAGTCCTCAGTGCCACTGAAAAGAAACATTTCTGCATTGAGAACACAGATGGTACACATGCACTTTACAGAGATCATCAATGCCACTACCAGGTGCAAGCCCAGTTGTTTGTGACGAGGCGGAAGTTTTGTGACTTCATGGTGTGGTCTACATCTGATTTTTTCATTCAGAGAATTTTTCCTGATGCTGACTTTTTTACAGAAGCAGTGCAGAATGTCGAGTCTTTCTATAGGTCAGCCATTTTATCCGAGTTATTGGCCAAGACGTATACATGCCCAGATAGACTGCTGTCAGACAAAACACAGTCCACAGACTCACAAGAATTGGAGGAGTAGTAGGGTGTTGTTCAAAACGAAGTGAACAATGAGAATTGTTGGCTCTTTGTAAATTATAGTGTTGTCTAGACCTACTCTATTTGTAAAGTTTTTCGAAATAACTCTTGTTATGATTTGATACTACTAATAAAATTGAATTGAATTATTTAGTAAGATTTGCCCGTGTGTAATTCTACATACATTTAATATCCTTTTTTAAGGGACAACAGGACGGTCAAAAGGTTGTTTATTTTACGCTGGTTTATTTTACAAAAAACATCTTTCAACACGTTTATAAAAGCCAACCTAAATTACATAATGTACACTCATATAAAACTTCTTTTATCAATCAATCAATCAAATTTTATTTGTTGAGCGCTTTACATCAACCAAAATGTGCACAAGGCGCTTTCCAGTAAAAACATCAATAAACAACAATATATAAAAACATAAGAGTAGATAAAATAGCAGTTGAAACAGGACGGAAGCTACATATTAAATGCTTGTCTGAATAGACGTGTTTTCAACTGCGATTTATGTTTGTCCTGCATGTTTCAATTAAATACATAGTGTGAATGTGTTAGGGAACTGACACATGACAATTTTTACTTTTTCCAATATAGGTTCTATGCAACTTATAACTTAACTCATTTCATTTCAGCTGATTTTAATGGATAAGTAAAGAATTGATTGTTAATGTGCTAGTACAACTATTTACACTGGAAATTGTTACTCAAAGTGCTTTCAAAAAACTTAGAAACCTCTCTGTTAAAGAATAACTGGGGGTTTTTTCAGCTAATCTATTGGCACCACTGAGGGGCACAGATTCGTTAGGGCACAAGCCAGTGTTGTAGTACTCGAGACTCGGACTCGGTCTCGAGACCATATTTTAATGGTCTTGGTCTTGTCATGGACTCGTGTCCATTTGGACTCGGAATTGACTCGTACTCGAACATTTTTTTTAGGACTCGGAATTATTCCCGAGTCCACTCGAGTTCAATTAAAAATATTTTTCATGATTATTAATGTATGTTAATAAAATATTTCTTTAAATTGATTGACACGCCCAGTGATTGGTGATTTTCTAGTGCGCAACTGCGCATGACAAATTGTAATAAAATTACTTTTAACACCACCTACTATGTGGCCTTTTTACCCTACTGATCATATTTTTAAAACTCTAAGTAAATTCAGTAAAAAAAAAAAAAAAAAAAAAGGATTTCTGTAAGTAAATAAAAGTAAATTAGGTAATCAACCCTCACTGGTCTCAGTCTCGACTCGGACTCGGACTCGACTCTCTATGGACTCGGTCTTGACTCGGACTCGACTCTCTCTGGTCTCGGTGTCGACTCGGACTCGAGTGAGGTGGTCTCGACTACAACCCTGGCACAAGCCACTCAAACTATTTTGTCAAGAGAAGTGAACTCCTCTTCTTCTGATGATTTAATCAGAAGACTAATGGGCACAGGTCCATGCAACATTCTGTACTTGGATCGTGCTTGACCAATTACCCTCTCAATGTGTATGCGGACTGTTGCAAGTTTTCTGGAATCTTCCAGTTCGACAGCGCCCAGCTGTTTTTTTCCCCCGTGTAAAGGCATGAGTTTCAACCCTTGCACAGTACAAGCCAACTTGTTCCTGAATCCTAAAGCCACGGTCTGCTAGGATCAAGTCTCCTGGTAGGAGATTATCCAAAAACCCACTGTTTGCTGTAATGTGAGCATCAGTTGACCGCCCACCCCAGCTCTTGGAGATGAAGGAGATTATCCCTTGTGGAGTTATACCTATTAGGTATTTTATGGTGTTGTGTGATTTATACTGAGAGTATGTCTGGGCCCTTGCCTTCAGATCTTTAGGTCTGTCAATGGTAATTTCAAATCAGTCTATTACTGATGTAGCGAGTGGGGTGTGTTCCATGAGAATTGCGCTTGATTGAATCAGGTGGGGGTTGTTTGGCGCTACACCTTTAAATCCAGCGAGCTGGCGTTTTTCCGATTTTGTGCTGTCACAGACTGTTGCTTCCTTGGGCTCTTGGCTGAGTGTACGAGTTGACGTGAGTTCATGTTTAAATGTATTGTGAGATCAAACCTCGTTGGCATATGTGATTTTGATTCAGACGATTACATTGTTTCATAGCCTCATCTGGTGTTTGTGCGATTACCCAGTGCCGTGGGTGCTGCTAGTGTCCTGTCTTTGCGAGCCCTCATCGGCTGCGATTTGTGTTGGCGTGCTTCAACGAGGACGTAAGTCTCTTGTTTTTATTGAGCAGCGTTTGTCTCTCTGTTTTTTTAGGTACTTGCTGTAATGAGCTTTTATTGATTTAATGTTTTGTTTATTAGTTCCGGGTTTAGAGTGATCACTACAAGTTTGCCGAGTGCGTTTGTTGTGCTGAGAACGTAAGTTTATTGGCTTCCTTTCTTCCTCACGTTTGTACATCTTCATAGAACGTTTATGTATGTAGTTCTGTTGATTTGCAATGTTTCTTTATTATAGTTTGGTTTGGGAATGTTCAAGTAAAAACCAGACGGAGTAAAGTGACTGCTACAGTATTATAAATAACCAAGCTTTTGGCTTGATGCTGTGGTCTGTTCATACAGGTTAGTGTTTTAGGCTACTTTAGCCTCTTGCCCCGCTCTGATTGTTCAGCTTAACTTTTTACAGCTTAAGTAATCCCCAGCCCATTGGTGCACAGGTTACAAATTAGGCATAGTTGTGATGCCGACCTGTATAATTATGTAACATTGTAATTGTTCTTTGCAGGAGGAGCGACATATGCTGTCCTGGCCACTGTTTTTCCTGTGCTCTTGTTTTTAGGATTCAGCTCCGTGTGTGTGTGTGTGTGTGTGTGTGTGTGTGTGTGTGTGTACGTGGGGAAGAACCGTCTATTGGGTTGCCTATGAGCCTCCCCCTGGTGTGTTGATGTATGTTGTGTGTTATGCAATGTGTGTATTTTAGGCCATTGGGTTGGTGCAATATCCTGGGTAGGGGGGGATAACAATTTTGTTGTGTGGCCACTGGTTTGTCTAGTGTGAATTATTTTCTTTTGGGTTATATTTGCGCATGTGATTTTGTGACGTGCCTTATCAATTTTGAGTTTGTTGTATTTTGTTTTTGAGTTATTTAAACACTTTGATTTTGGATTTTGTTGTCCCTGACTCTGTTGCCCAGAGGCCTAATGTCCTTTGAATACTGTTTCATGTTGTGAGTCCATTGAGCCAAAGAAAAGGGGAAATAAATAAATTTTCTATTTTTATAATACTCCAGTCTCTCTCTCTCTCTCTCTTTGTATTTCCCTTTATTGGGACAGCCTGCTGGTAAACATTTGAAATTCTTACGGTCGCTTAGCCATGATTATTTGGTTGCAATAGACCCCCCTGAGGTTACACTGACATGCATTGCTTGAAAGACTTTCTGAAACACATTGGCAGAGATGTTTGGACATCATCTCTGTCAGGCCACACCACACACACAGGTACTAAGTTGTCATTTAGTATATTAATGACATTTGTAAAAACTCTTGAAATTGTGGACATATGAACACCAAACAGATATGACAAAAAAGCAATTGGAAGGTTAAGCCTGATCCTCATTAATGTCAACAGTAGCTGGTGGAAGATGGTGATGTGTGCTCTATTCTTAAGTAAGGGAGTTATTAAGTCAATCACAGCCATAAACACTTTATAGTTGGGCAGTCCTGTAAAGGTTTTAAGTTTGTCGCTGTTTTCAAAAGTGCTCTGTTCCAGGTCTGAGGGCTTCAGCTTCTCCTTCAGAGCAAACGTATCACCCCGGAGTTGCTGACACTCAAATTCAAGAGACTCAATGTAGTCTGAAGTGAGGTTGGTTTGGCACATTGCATCACATTTGCAATTAGTTTCACTGATACTAGCCTCTTCTACAATCGCCTCCTCTACAATCTCGTCTTCAACCTCATGTGTTAAAGCCTCACAGGCACAATGTTTATGTTGCCTCTAACGTAAGTTTATGAGCACCAGAGAGAAGCATAGACATTTAAATGCAAAATCTGCGTTGTTTATTTTTTGTATGAGATAACGTTTCAGATGACACAGTTAGAGACGGGCGATCAGTGTGAATGGGTAGACTGCACAGCCTTATTACGCTAGCTGGTACTTGCTCATAAATGTTAAATGACAATTTGACTGGGTCTCCATTTGGACATGGATGACGGTATGGTATTACAAAAAATGAATTACACGTAACTAGGAAATGATTCTTACCTTGTAAAAAAAGCTCGCTGCAAATCCTGGCGTACTTGGAGGGCTGCCAGTCCTTTCGTCTGATAGCAGCAATGCATCGATGCCTTCTCTCCCCATCAAATGGAATGCGATAAAAGGATGTATTGGCTTTACCCTGTCTATTAGCACACCCCACGGCACAACACGAAATAACCATTTTATGACAAGACCGGTTCTATTTATCACTGCGCCCTTAGCAACAGCCTCAGCAACCACACATATCAACATAGGCTAAAAAGTAGCAATAAAGTTAGCAGTTATCAGGTAAAAAAAACGTTCGCTTCCACAGCTCTCAGAATGAGAATCAACAGTAGCCGGAGTTGGCCTTTTCTTAAAGGGGCAGTACACTATTTTACCAAATCCCACAAGAACATGAATTTTAGTATGATTTCAACCTTTTAAGTATTATTTAACATCTTTAACCATAACATGGATTTCTAAATAAAAATTAGTTGTTTAACATTAATTCTTATGCACATGACTATGAACTGTACTTTGGCCTCTACAGTTTTAAAAGCCCGAACATGCACAAAAAGCGACGGCTTTAAAGTCAGTCAGGGTCGGGAGGATCGGAAAATAGGGCTCCCCCGAAAGCCACTTTGTAATTCGAACCCTGGTTGAGGAGAACTGCGCGGTGCGACAGAAAGCTCCGTCTGGGATTGTGCTAGAATCAGCCAGTCGTCCAGATTGTTTAGTATGCGCAGCCCCTGACTCCGCAGGGGTCGAGCGCTGTATCCATGCACTTCGTAAAAGTACGGGGTGCTAAGGATAGGCCGAATGGGAGAACGGCGTATTGATAAACTTGACCCTCGAAGGTAAAACGTAAGAATGGCCTGTGACGAGGATTTATCTGGATCTGAAAATAAGCGTCTTTCAGGTCTAGAGAGATGAACCAGTCCCCCTGGCGCACGTGCGTGAGGAGTTTCTTGACTGTAAGCATTTTGAACGATCTCCTCATGAGCGTTTTGTTCAAAAGCCTGAGATCTAAGATCGGCCTGAGGCCGCCGTCTTTCTTCGGCACAAGAAAATAACAGCCGTAAAACCCCGACTCGGTCATAGATGGCAGAACTCTCTCTATTGCGCCTTTCTGCAGCAGCTTCGCTATTTCTGAGCGGACCGTGCTCAGAGCCGCACACGGGGAACGGGGCGGGCGGCGACGAAACAGCGGTCCGGCCGCAGCGGGAGAAGGCCGCCTTTTTCTCAGCTGTGCTAGGCAGACTTTTGCTGATCAGGCTTCAGCATGATCTTGGGTCGAGGCCCCCGGGGAGGCAGCTGTCTGCGGCGGCTGTCAGAGCGAGAGCGAGGGCGGCCGCCCTGTCTAAGCTGGGGTTGATGAGCCTGCTGAGGCGGGCGCTGTTGCGGGCTTCTGGCAGGAAGCTCGCGAGAACGGCCTGCAGAAGTGCTGGCGTGGCGGGGCAGGAACAAGTTCATGGCCTGGGTGGCTTTCTGTACCTCGGAGAAGCGGTCAACGATACCCGTGACGGCAGATCCGAAGAGGCCGGTCGGGGAGATAGGCGCGTTGAGGAAAACGGCGAGCTCTGCGTGCTCCAGTCCGAGGCAGAGAGCGCGGATGGGGTGGTGATCTCCGTCCTCGAGAGGAGAGCGGCAGGAGCCGCAGAAATTTCGAGGCATCTTGATAAAGACGCTCGAGCTCTTTTGTGAAATGGAATATGAAAAGAATACGTCGTCGGACGGCGCTAGCTTGCAAGGTGGCTGAAGGTGGCAGACGGCCGGCTTCCTCAGTCTCCGGAGCTCGCTAGAAGGGGCCTTCTCGACGGCGACGGCTTCTTCTCAGAACAGCGAATGCTTGTAGCTCGCTGAAGAATGAAAGAATCAACGTACAGCCTTGGGAGAGCCTTTTTATGCACGCCCCTTTCGGCGGGCTCTGACGTAATGAGCGAGCGCCTACTGGTTCAGCGCCGCTCTCCCATAGGCTCGTGCATTTCCCTCTGAAAGAACCAATGAGCTGCTAGTTAGCCCGCTCATGGTCTGCCTCAGAGGAACTGCGTTGACAATGATTACAAATTATGGAATAATTTTTTGGCTTCAACTTCTCAGCAAAGATGAATCTTTCCCGTAGTGTAAGCTAGCTTACGCAATACGAGAGAACTTCTCGTAAGAGAACGTTATTTCCATGTTGCTTTCAACGTTATTTTAGCCTAAAATTAATGTAGAAACAAATGTGACTTAATTTACTTTGTCTTTGAAATACTGAATGAAATCACATTGTAGATGCTTATAAAGATCAAATTGTAAAGGTGACTTCACTTGTCAGCTACAGTAAGTCATGTGATTATAGCAGTTTTTGGAATGTCAAGTTTGTTTTCAGGTCAAAATACTACATGTTATTATCGTGAGCAAACAATTAAATTTTTTGGACAATTGATAACAAGCATATTAATTAAAGTACACAAACAAAAGTAGGCTTACCTAAATGGAATGTATAAGAAAAGGTTCTTATACATTCCATTTAGGTCAGCCTACTTTTGTTTCTTTACACGAACACACCTGCATTACAGTTAGCACAATATTTTTTCCCCCGCCAAAACAACAATTATTTATTGTGTTAAATAGGGGGGGGGGGGCTCTTATTAAAACTACTATTAAAATACAGCAAACCCACCACAAAATGGAATTAGTCTGTCAAAACTCAAGTTTCCGATTGATCATGATCATATAAGCCCAAAAACAATTGATGGCATTATGAAAACTGCATTATTAGTCATGTTTCACTTCTGCAGACAATACAAAATCCATAGTTTTGTTATTTTTCCTTTCTTTTCCCCCTCAGACTGATCTCATGAAGTAGCGTGTGTATGCCACGCCAATTCGTATTTCCTTTTTTGGCGTGCTATCAAGACGCATAATCGCCTTTCAGCGTGTTTATGAACGCCGTTGACTTAACGTTATATAAATATATGACTTAAGGCCATTGCACACTGAGTCCGAAATTCGCATCCGAAATTTTCGCACGTAAAAAAAAAAAAAAAATCGACCTCACGTTATGTCAGTCACGCTTGCACACCGCCTCCGAAACTTTCGTCCGTCATAAAATTAATCGGATCGGGTTCGATTTTCTGCGTTTTTCGCATCCAGAGCCAGCATTTTGAGAGGTCTTTTGACAATTCAGGGCCGGGGGAGCTCGTCCTCAAATCATTGCACATATGCGCCATGCTTTCAGTTTCGGTTTTCAATTCGATCAAGTGTTTGTTCTCTTCTCTATATTGGATTATGACATTAATAAACCTCCCCTTTCAATCAGATTGAATTAGGATCGAATAAGGTGTGATTGAGCAGCCTATTTGATAACTAATGTATTATTTTGGCGCACAATATATACACAATATATACACAATAACAGCCTGTTCTGTCTGCCAAGCACTTCCACCGGGCCGTGCACGGGTGTGTTTGTGTGTGTGTGTGTGTGTGCTGCAGCAGGTGTGAGAGTGCATGACAACTGAGAGAGAGTGAGAGAAGGGTAAATGAGGGACATTAAGCAGGTGAGTAAGAAAAAAGAAAGTGGATGCTGGAAGGCGAAAAATACACCAAAAAATTGGCTTTGTCGGTTGCTAGGACACTCGATTAGTTGTGAACGTTGTGATCCAAGGAGGGAGACACAGCCCTTATTGGGAAAAAGGATAGAAGAGAAAAGTGAGGGGTTTAGACAAAAACAGCAGAGGGAGGTGTAGAGGGAAAATCCAACAGAAAAATTAAAGCTGCAAGCAGCGATGGGCGGGCCCTCGCACCTGTAGCACGTCGGGGTCTGAGGCGGCCACGTTGCATTTTCTGCAGCTCAGCCAGTGCGGCTGAGCATTTGCTACGCTGCTTCGTTAAAGGTCACTTCCTGTTTCCAGCAGGTGGCGCTATGACAGTGGGTGAATGTCGGCATGTAGATTTGTTCAGGGCGGGACTCTTGTCAAAGGTGTAAAATTTCATGCATATCTGGGCTTTTACAGCCAAGTTACTACAACTTCCTGTTTCATGGCGAATCATCGACGCCATGGA